TAAGGCATGGCAACTGAAAATGGGGTTTTTTTTCGGAGGATGATCCTGATAAATATCCTATAAAAACTACGCTTTCACCCTCCAAATACGATTACTTACTCTAGATCAGAACTTCAGGAAAAAAAAAAATAGAATGAAGTATTAATTTCCTTGTTTGATATATATCAGGAGGATTTCGTCGTCTTTAAAAATTTGCTATAAATGTCGTTTTTAATTCCAAGAGGAATCGCGTAATGCAACAAAGAAAGGAATAATTTGTTAAAATTGACATATATCAACTTACAATAAGAATTTTACTAGGCCTATAAGTTACTGTAAAAGAAAACTATAACAAGAATGTAGGGAATATGCTTTACTTGTATCCCCAAAATAAACACGGGGACCAGAGATATTGAAGTCCATGATAAACGTGGACCACTGAAAATGTCAGCGTATTTCTTTTCTTCGATCTGAAACACACATATTGTTGCAAAATGGATAGAGCAATAGAATCCCCAAGTTTAAGACAAAATGATCGTATTTTCATACAGAAAGAAAATACATTAATATAAAGAAATTTTGAGCTCAAATCAGACACGGTGATAGGTACTGATCTTTAAAATAAGTAAAACAAATTGATTGTCAAGATAATTACAAATACACAGTGTATATGCAGGCCCTATTTAATTTTAATAAATTGAAGAATATCGATGTCTTATTTATTCAATGCATCCTTATTTTCTTCTATACATTACACTCCTCCATGGCACCTGATCCCTCTGCTCTTATTTTGTAATGTTTCATGGACAATTGAGCTCGAATACTGTTCGTTATCTCAACATATATATAAGCATTATTTATTTATTCATTTTTGATACGAACATGTTTTTGTAAAAGTCGTTTGTACTAAGTCGCAAAAATACAAGTACGTAATTTAGTTCTTGTCAGAGTTATTAAACCATATGCGAGAGTGTTTAAAAATGATGCGATGATTTTAAAAATTTCAATTACAAAAAGTAAAGAAAGGCACGGGATGGGGTGTTGTACTTGAGTAAGTGAATATAAATAGACACTGTCAAATAATTAGAATTTAATAAATTGTATAAAACACTAACACAAGAAAAAAATTAATGTTTGATTCCACCTTTGTGTTTTGAAAAAAGCCATATAATTATATACCGCACGTATAAGTGGAGTATCTACAAGGTCACTTGTCGAGGAAAATTGAATCATTGACTGCGTTGGCCTTTTTGTGATAAAACAGTGTGGTACATGTAAATAAATGATTTTATTAAAATAACCGTGGTTATGAAAAAAATGAATTCATACTCCCTCTCCCGTCTCTCTTTCTTTCGATCGCTTTTACTCTTTCTCTCAATCGATTGAAATGTCAAATGATGAAAATGATCAAATTGCACTGATTGATAAAACACGAAAACATCTTGCGAATATGTGAGGGAATTTTTAAAAAAGAAATACAAGTTTGTTTGAAGATCGTATAATTATGCAAGGTTTAAGCCATGATTATGATATTCACTAAAATTACGTTGGAAAATGACATGACAGTTTGTAATCATTGTACAGCTGGGCCTTACTGACGTTATATGCTAGGGGAAATAAGCAACGTAAGTCATAGCTCAATTTCACGATGGAGTTATTTTGATCGACTGTGCTGTGACTATCTTGCATAAGAAATCCCCCCCCCCCCCAAAAAAAAAACAACAAACAAACAAACAAACAAACAAAAAAAAAACAACAACCCCCCCCCCCAAAAAAAAAAAAAAACAAAAAACAAACGAACAAAAAAAAAAAAAAAAAAAAAAAAAAAAAAAAAAACAAAAAAAAAAAAAAACAAACAAACAAAAAAAAAACAAAACAAACAATTTCAGTCTTATTTCATCAGTTCAAATGAAGTAATTCCCGTAAGTAACTCAATATTTTCAGGTATCTGTTTCTTATGACCTTTAAGCACTTGATGTCCTTTGTATTCAGCAGCTTAAATAAATTGGAAAAAAATTGATTTTATTTAAATTTATTTGAAATTTTATTTCCTGTTATTCCATATTCTCTTACCTGAAAAAATGTAAAAAACCGATACAGGGTCGTTGTGAAAGAGCAGTGATTTTATTTAATAGTTTTAAGTCTTATACCAGAAGAAAATGGTATACACGCAAATTTATTTCTTCGTTTTTAGCAGTACAAATGAATGAAATAGATGGAGATAACGAACAGTATTCAAGCTCAAAAGTCCATTAAACATTACAAAATAGGTGCAGAGCAAACACGGACCTCCAAAACTCGTGTTAATAACAAATCTAAAACTTCGAAGCAAAGAGAGAAAAGGAGAGTAAATTTACTAATGTGCAATAAGTAGATATCGACAGCCCTAAATAAATTTATAATTGAAAAGATCTGGGAAACGAGCAGTGATAAATTCACTACATCCTATAATGGAGCAAAAAAAAAGTAATAAAAAATAAACAAATAAAACCGCGGAATTCATAGACGCATTACAGAAGGGATGATATTTGTGGAGTAAGCATCACCGGTCAACCAAACACGCCTATTGGTTCCTTGAAACAAGTGCTTTATAGCTGGTATGAAACATGAAAGTCAAAATAAGAACGATCTATAGGTCATCTATGCAAACAGAGTTATATTAAATGCTGTCTATAAAAGAGATGTTAAAACCATACAAATCAACATATTAAGCAGTAATCTGTCTTGCTTAAAAAAAAAATTGATCACATTTAGAACATGTGAAGTTGAAGGCTACAGAAAGTGGTATCTTCTCCTCATGTAGAAGTTTCTGAATATATTCTGCTTCATATGAATACAAAATAGGTCTGCTAATAAGGGTCGCAATTATTACCCATGGGAATTCCAACAGATTGTTGGAAGACCGGGTCTCCATAAAAATACGTAGATTTTGTCGATCAGAAACTCAAGCATCTTTTTAATATCAACTTCAGAATACTTGTGTGTACATTCAGATGTTTTTAACAAAATAAATTTGCAAATGACAAGGTAAGTATATTTACGATTTCCATTTTTATTAAAAAAGCAGCTGCCTATGATGTCAAAAAGCCTGGCTTTTAATTTATCATGGGTATGGTTGCATAAAGTGTTTAAAAGTCGTATGATTTGATGTTATTGATTTTGGTAAAAATTTGTGATTTAAAATTTTCTAAAAGTTCCTTGGAGTTTTTAAGTATCCACATCTGATTTACACTACTTCTCAAAAATACTATTATACAGTACTCCTAAATTTTCTCATGCACTGCGCTAAATATTTCAGTGAGAAATAAAGAAAGAGATTTGGAAGAACATTTACTGGAACGCGCTACATGTATCTATGTTTTAAAGAATTTTTACAGATTTTTGAAATACAGAATAGGTATTGTAATTTATATTCCTTTTGTTTGATGAGAATATTAAGAATATTTAAAACTGACATATGGTTTTGAAGAATTTCCTCCTGATAAAGGGAGCTGTGGGTATAAGTTGAATCACCACTAGCAGAGTTAAATCCTAGTTCCTCTTAAATACAATTAAAAATGAAAAATAAGTATAAGTGTAGGTTGCATTACCAGATGTGGAATTAAAACCAAGTTCTACTAAAAAGCAGTTGTAATAATAAAACTTCCAAACAAAGACTGTTTTGTTACAAGCTTTGTCAGCTGAAAGCTAAATGAAATATAAAAATAATGAACAGTTTTCAATCTCAAAAGTCCAATGAAACGATACAAATTTGGAGCAGAGTAAACATGGACCTCAAAATGAAGAGGTGAGATCAGGTGCCATTTAGGAGTGAACCTCATGTAGTCTTTTTAATGCTTTTATCACTTTTGGTCTACTGAAAGGAAGGATAGAAAATTCGTCTTTTGCCCTTTAATTTTCCAATCCGATTTTTTAACATTTATCTACATAGTTTTTTTATGAACATTTAGAGTTTTTGAAAATCGATTAAGTCGGGAGATGTAAACGCCATATGAAGGTGATAGTGGAATATCACTGCAAAATAAGGAAAGTTGACGATAGAAAAGCTGAAGTTATCTCGTTTGTTCTCCTTTGAAAAAAAAAAAAATCAGATTACTTATAAGCAGAATCAGAGCGATTTTTGTCGAAGTAATTTTATTAATAACCAATCACAGGATGTAAAAATATCCGAGTTCCATTTTTATTGAAGGAGTTCAAAAAGCCTGGCTTTTAATTTATCGTAAGGAATGGCTGTATAAAATGTGAAATTCTTGAAAGATCTGGGTTCCCTGACTTTAGGTACTTTTAAAATTAAAGCTTAAAGGTCGTCATTTTGAAGTATACTTGCATCACCAGTAATGTTGTTTCCAGCCAGACTATAGTTGATAGAAGAATAAGAATACTTAGGAGGATTTTGCTTTCGATGGTCAATGATAAGAAATAATAAAAAAGCATGCAAAAATTCAGAATACCCATGAATCCTGCAGGATATGGATAGCTTGTCATTAAAAATTAGTCAACAATCAGAGTTTGAAATTAGTAGATAATTTCCACAGACATTGGTTATAATGGCTGGTGTATTGGCTTTGACGTCTTAGGTCTAATGACAAACTCCTCCATTTTGAATATCCTCAGATATTTATTCAGCCATTAGCTATAAATTAGTTGTTTTAATGCTGGAAATGGATGCTTTTGCAGTACTCAATTGAACAAATGGAGTTCACTTTACTCCATTACAATACAGTTTTTGCACAAATGGTATTAAAAGTATTGATGACATGTATTGTTGCAATATGTAAAATATTTGTAACCACATTAATGACTATTTTCTTTTAATAGTGAAACAAATGGTTCAACTAATTTCACTTAAGAATCGTGTTTACACAATTCTCTTCAAAGAAAAGCTTATTTTTGCCGCTCACATCAATGTAGGGTCTGAGATTGAATGAAAAGCGCATTTTTTATTCTCTCCTATATATATCAAGTAATTGACGTCTTTCATTCACAGTTGAATGTTTGAAAGTGTAATGATGAAAGGACTAATGGCGATAGTACTCCGAATTTTACTGATCGGTCTTTCCTCCTTTCAGTCTTGTATAGCCTTTAACAGGTCACATATATTCAGAGATGTCATTGACGGTCTGGATCCAGACATTGCACCTTTCCAATCCATCAACACAAGCATCGACGTCATCATAATGCTTACTTTGTCTGAAATATCCGAAATAAACGAGAGGCAAAAGACAATGACTATCTCATACGGTATCGGTTTGACGTGGCAGGACTATCGACTGAAATGGAATGCCAGCTTATATCAAGGTATTTCTTCTGTTCAGGTGAAGGCCAGTAAGATTTGGACACCATCTACCATTTGCATCTCTAATGAAGTGAGGAAAGAGAAATGTATTGGAGCAAGGGAAGGCCAAGTTACCGCTCACTCTCAGGCTTATGCCTCTTACATTAATTCCATGGAAAACAAAGTGCACTGTAATTTAGATGTGACAAAATTTCCATTTGATTCGCACACTTGTAATATAGTGTTTTATAATATAAATCCGAGTACTGAATACCTTACCTTCAATGAGATGAACTCCTATTTCTCATTCCAGTTCTACGAAGCAAACGAAATGTGGGAAATCCTCAATGGTTCACACTTCAAAAATAATTATAGAATTTGGAAAATTAATTATGAACAATTAATTTTCCAAATTCAGCTGAAGAGAAAGTCCTTATATATCATCATTTCGACATTCTTACCCGTGATCGTTTTATCAGTGCTAAATTTATTTTGTTTCGTGGTACCTATCGACTCTGGTGAAAAGATGGGATTCTGCATGGCTATATTTCTTACCTTCGCAGTATTTCTAACGATAATTAACGACACTTTGCCTAAATCATCAGATAAAGTTCCATTTTGTAGTATATTTCTGATAACTCAGCTCCTCATTAGCGGATTGGTCGTTGTATTGCAGGCTGTTATACTTTTTATCCACTTTCGTCTTTCTAAAAATAATGACGGGTCGTTAGAAAAAAAGTTTGAAACCAAACATGTCGATAAAAAGAATAGATTTGCATCAACTGGAGCATGGCTGGACAAAGTTTTCTTCCTTTTCATACTTGCTTGTGATATTTTTTCGGTGATGATCTATGTTGTCAACGTGAGATAATTTCAAAAACATGACTCATATGACTATGTATCTGTTATATTCCTGAGATGTGTATTAATGAAATGTTTGAATAAGTTCCATACTTTTATAGATGATTGATTACTTTCTGCGCTTGAAAAGTATAAAATTTGTGACTTGTGGATTTCAGCCTCAGGATAAAGCAAAACTTTACATATAATGTTTGGCCCAAAGGGAAGCTATGCTGATCATATATTAAATACTTGTCAACAATATACCATTGAAATCGCTGATATCAAAAAGATTTTTTTCGGATATGAGTATTATGCCCTCTTCCGAAAGTGTTTTTTAAAATGTATTTCAAATTATTCATCTTTTCATAAGACCAGGTAATTCTCTGAAGTTACAGCATATTCAAGTAGGATAATTTCAATGATGATTAAAATGGCTATAAAGCATAATTTAACGAATAAAATATCGGCATTAAAATCGTACATATAAAAATGTTTATTGCTTCATGAATAACAAGATCTTGAACTAAAATTAAATTTAATGTGGGTTCATTTTGTATGGTGGTTTGTATTTTTGTATGGTGCGCTCCCTCTCCTTTACCTGCTGTGGTATTAGAATGTAAAAATGAATAAGCTAAGTGTTTCAATTAAAACAAATTAAGATTTATTTACAGATATGGCACTATTATAGCATATGAACATATACTAGTATGTATTTTCTCTGCATGATTAGCACCTGCTATGTATTTTATATCAAAATAGATTCAGTAATATTTAATTATCTATTTCATTTGATAATCACTCATCTTATCATCTTATCAACCCTGCCACAATAAAATTCCTTAAACACTTGCTTTGTTTTTTAAATATGCACTGATCTTAGATAATTGAGCACTAAATATTGATCTCTGTGGATATAGGTGTACATTATATCTAGTCCATCATCCTCCTGTACGTGGGAAAGTTCACTATTTCTTCTCATGTGCTAAGTTCATGTATACTGAAGCCAGGAAAGGGTTTTTTATATAAATTTTTGAGATTTGATAAAATTCTAAGATTTGATAAAGTTCTGACATTTGATAAAGTTCTGACATTTGATTAAGTTTTGAGATTTGATCAAGTTATGAGATTTGATTATGTTTTGAGATTATTATAAAGTTTTGGTATTTGAATAAGTTCTGAGATTAGATTAAATTCTGAAATTTGATAAAGTCCTGAGATTTGATAAAAGTCTGAGATTTGATAAAAGCCTGAGATTGGACTAAGTTCTGAAATTTGATGAAGCCAATTTACGTGACGAGGCACAGGTACGTAGTTTCGGGGAAGGTTTTTTTTTAAAATGTACTTTTAAATATCATTTGAAAAGGTTGGAGCAACATCCCACCACCTCCAACGAAATAGGATTTTCGTGTCTGGGAAAATCCCCCTCCCTACATATTTACTTGTCAAGGATCTGCAAAATAAGTTGGCACCCCCCCTTTATAAAAATGATTATCTGAAGGGTCGTAAGTAATTTGAGGGCAGAAAAAGGAAAAAAGAACCCAACACCACATCTTAGAACCAAAAGGAAATAGACACTAAGTATATCTACTTCAATTAATTTATATTTTATCCATATTGGATCACGTCAAAGAAGTTGTTTTGCTTGCTTTGCTTTGTTTTTTTAAAATATTGGGTCTTAACTATGTTCTGAAAATATTCCTTTTTATAAGATTATACAGCAAATAAACCATGCTGACAAAGATCAGAACTATCAAAGTTTCTCCAAATAATGTTTATAATGTTAGGTATGACGTCTCAACAGCTCAACTATGAAGTCATAGCCTACGGCAATGTGTAACAACAGGAAAGAGGCAAAGGAAAAAAATAAGGAAAATGTAATAAACAGAAAATCCAATGATTTGTAGTAGGATATAGAATTTATTTAACTCATGGGAAAGATTTTTTGTTTCAATATCTGCAGTCTTCTTTTTAAATATCTTCGCACTCGTGAAAATTATAAAAAAAAACCTGTCCCAGTCGTGAAGTAAATTCCATATCCAACAACAAAACATTTAATATCCTCTATATATCAATAGTCCGTTGACTATAGGAGAGTCGATGGTTCTACAAAGATCAAAAATTGGCAAAATAAATTTATTGTAATTGCTAAAAAATAAGTCCTAACATCATTTCAGCTTGCTCTTTGGGAATTGGAATTTTGCTCAATCATATACTCTAACTGCTTATTAATAGTTTATTGAAAAGAGATGATTAAGTATATGTCGTTAGAAAAATTAAGATACATCCATAATTTCAGACATATAACACTGTGGAATATTGTAGTTTTTATTTTACTTATCTATATAGAATGAAGATATCAGCAAGTCGAAATTATATTTAGAGAGGAGTAAAGAAAGAGCTTGGTAGACCATTAAATACACCACGTAATTAATTTTTTACCAAACAATATTTTACTTAAAACCACAAAACCCCACTCTACCCCCTCCGTACGCGAAAATAAGTGAATTCATAGTACTTCTTATAGCTCATGAACATAAAATATATCGATACAAATCCAAAGTTAAGTAAAAAATGATAAAATCCCATATACTTTAACGTTCTTAAGATCAAATGTGAAGATCATAAACAGTTATCATGCTCAAAGTCCTTTCAAAACAATACAAATCATAAGCAGAGCAGACCTCTGGAAACAAAAGAGGGATCAGGTGCCATGGAGGAGGGAGCATCCCCTGTTGAACGGTCACACCCGCCGTGAGCCCTATGAATTGATCAGGTAGACTGAACATTCCGTAGTCAAATGTAGCCTAAACACAAAGACATAGCAATTGGTATGAAACACGTCAGCCATAATAAGACCCAATGATAGGTTATAATTGCTAATAAGGTAATAAAAATAACCATAGAATTTCAAAAATGCTAAATTTAAACGTGGTTGTCGAAATCCCTGTAACATCAACTCATTTCTCGGTAACCTGCCTTGGTTTAAAAATTAATCGTACTCAGAGCATGCTCTTGAGTATCAAATAAGTTGGGAGACAAAAAACATGCGTGTGATACCTGAGACGCAAAAAACATATGCATGTGTATTACTACATAGATAAATAACTTATTTGTCAATACTTTGTTTCGTTTTAGAAATTGTTTGAACGTAGAACTTGCCATTGTGAATCGAATCAATTTAGAGACATATTATAATTATATATATCTACATAAATCAGGGAAGCTGACGTGAGTAAAGTTGAAGTCATTATGTTTATATAAAGCTTAGTTGTTAATTCCGTCATCAATGTCTTTTTCAAATAACATTCAAATATGAAACTGATGTGTAGACTCTGTGGAATTTTTTTATTATTTCAAGTTAGTTCAATTCATAGATCGAATCAACGTAAGAATAAAAATTAATATTGTTAAGAAAAAAAAATCGTCGTTGATTAAAGTAATTGTCGAATTAAAAGCTAACTTTTTAAATATATTCTGCTCCATAAATATACAAAACAGGTCTTCTTATAACGGTTCACAATTAGTGAATTCCAAAAGATTATTGAAAGATCAGGTCTTAAAAGATTACACAGATATAGTTAATGTCAAACTAAAGCATCTTTTTTTTAATATCAACTTTCGTTTGTTCGTAGAACTTGCTATTGCGTATCGAATCAATTTAAAGACATAAACCCCATATTTAGGTAATAGTGGTACATGAATCACAGAAGTTGACTTGAGTAAAGTTGAAGTCATTATGTTTATTTAAAGCTTAGTTGTTAATTCTGGCATCAATGTCTTTACTAGTAAAACATTCAAATATGAAACACTCAGGGCTATTGAGCAGTGAGGGATCTTTATCGTGTTAACGCCAACTGTGACGAGAGATCTCGGTATTTATGGTCGTATTCGTAAGATCCGTGACATTCACTTATAATGCCGGGCGATTGGCGAAGGAACAGTAACTACATATGTTTACGTCTTAGGTTTGTTTGTCGCAGTGCCGGGAACGAGAATGAACCGGGTAACTCCCAATCAGGAAGCGAACGCCCTACCACTAGGCTACCTTGACAATATTGTTTTAAAAGAAACAGTCGTCATGATACCTTCTACGTATGTACAATTTCTAAAACGAGGTAAATTATTGACAAACAAGTTGATGAAACAAGAATATCAGCAGTCTCGTTTAAAGTCATCATTTCGTAAGTTCTATGGTCGATACAATGACCTTGTCAGCAAATACAATTTATCATTGAGTCAAATGCTGACTGACGTTTTTCATACTAAATGTTAGGCCATTATTTACACACTGAATTGTCGACGGATTTTCCCGTTATTTCCCTATCATGACAAGGAGCACACGGCGGGTGTGATCTTTCGGCAGGGGATGCTCGCACCTAAATGGCACCTGATCCCACCTCTGATGTTTTAGAGGTCTGTGTTGGCTCTTCTCTAAAATTTGTATTGTTTACTGGACTTTTGAGCTGAAATACTGTCGTTATCTCCATATATATTTCATAGAAAAAAGTGTAATGATTACTAAGGGA